AACTTACGACCAAATCGTGTTACGACCGGTCCGCGGTCCTGACCGTGGTCGTAAGTCGAGCACTAGCTGGTAGTTAGTGCTGTGTCGTACAAAACAAGGATGGAGAAGGTTGGAGGAGTTGAAGATTATACCTTAATTTTCACAACAAATGTTTTTGCATTTATTTTTCCCCAGGAGGACGGTAAATGCAAATTGTTCATTTGAGCAATTTCTATCCCTTTTGGACGGTCCCTATTTTCTTGCTGTGAAATGTGCTCAGCTCCTCAACCAAACTGCATGGGATCGTTCTGAAGGGAGCAAATCTAGTTTGCATACTTCAAATTCGAAGAACGCATTAAAGTATGCAGGAATCAGAGACTCAACCTGCCCAGCGAACAACCTACGTGGGCCCTTAGGGAGAAGCTGTATGAGGCTTAGCAGTTCTGACACCTCAAAGGTGGAAAGAGATCTAATGGTGCTTACAAAAACATGTAAACATCATTATGAAACGGTTTGAAATTTTAAGTCGAGCATCTTTCTAAGGCAGGTATACTAGGGGTCAAAATGTAACCACCTCCACCTCCACACAGGCCTGCTGGGGCCAACTTCTGGTGTTAAAAAAGAAAATGGGGGAGAAATTCTAATTAGGTTTTCCAAACAACCTTCCACAGCTGAGCGGTGGGTGCTCACTTTCTCAGCAAGTTCAGTTGCCCTGGAACTCCTAGGCAAGCAGAAAACGCCGGAAACAGAAACCATGAAACTTACAGAGTTCCCAGAGGAAACTGGACCACCCGGAACCTTCCTAAAACCAGTGATAACTGACCAAATTACAAGTCAGGAAAACGGTCTTTGGTGAGTGAGCATTTCTGAGGTCTTGGAACGCTTTTACTTGACTGAGAACAGTTGGATTTGAGTTTTTGGTTTTGCATCTGGATTGGGAAAAAAAAAAAAAAAAAACCATGGTATAAAATTTTCACCTTAGAAGGACAGAGCAAAAGAATAGTGACCATCCTGACAGCTCCCAGGAAGGCAGAGAAAGGCATGTCCAGGGCTCTGCCCTTGATCCTCTCGAAGCTGCCTGACGGTTCTCCAGTAGCTCCTACTCTTCACAACCAGTGCCACTGGACAGCCGCGTCACAAACGTGTGCCGCTGGGCCTGCCCTCCCGAAGTGCAATGACACAGACTTTTAGTAACAGGGATTTTTCAATTTAGCTGGTAAAGGTTCATTTTTTTCTGAAGTGGATAAAAAAATCCTCTGTTTCTAATTAAAGACACATGGGCAGAGGATGGCCAGCTGCTTCCTTTGCCCTCTGTGTGAAAAAGTGTGGCCCAATGGCATCTCAATTTGCCTGTCACCGGTTTGCCAGGCAGTTTTGTGTTGTGTTTTTGTTTTGAGATGGAGTCTCATTCTGCCACCCAGGCTGGAGTACAGTGGCACAATCTCAGCTCACTGCAACCTCTGCCTCCTGGGTTCAAGTGATTCTCATGCCTCAGCCTTTCCAGTAGGTGGGAATACAGGCGCCTGCTACCATGCCTGGCTAATTTTTGTATTTTTAGCAGAAACAGCATTTTGCCATGGTGGCCAGGCTGGTCTCAAACTCCTGACCTCAGGTGATTCGCCGGCCTCAACCTCCCAAACTGCTGTGATGACAGGCGTGAGCCACCACGCCCAGCCTGCTGGCCAGTTTTAAACAGGCCACCTAATCTTTCTGCCACCTGAGAAGAATATGCACCTCGTTGACTGGTGTCCTATGTGGTTTCGCTGTTTGGTGATATCAAGTGTTCATAAAAATGCTTTAGAAGCAAAGCCCTGGGTTGTCAAAATGCCCATCCATCACCATAAGCAAATTTATTCCATAACAGTTCAGGTCTTTAGAACTAAACTGAGTAACTGCAAGAAGTCTCTGAAATAAAAGGGAGAAGTTTCAAGTAATATTCAGGTCCAAATGGAGAGTTAAGTACCCTGTGGGAGTGGAGTTTTTTTTCTACTTGGGAGGCTTCATTCAGTTCTGTGAGTGCGGAAGTATTAGGAGTACTCGTGACATGTTTCTACGTTCCCAAAAGGCAAACTCTGTTTATTTTATGGCCCACACTTTGGGCCTTTTCCCAAAAAATATGCGTCCAAAGAAGTCATCCTTTTTGCATAGTAGTTCCGATTAATGCCAGATCAATCTTTCCAAATGAATCAAGGTGTTCAGTTAACATCGGACGTTTTCAGGTCTATTGGTTGTAAATGACAATGACAGTAGGAGGGAGAGTTAACATTCACTGAGCACTTATTCTGTGCCATGCACTGCACAAATGCCACCGTGAGAGCTCCTTCGATTCACAGCAACCCATGGGGTAGGGAATTCAGTCCTCCCATTTTATTCATTATTTTTAATTTTTTACATTATTTGTACAAATTTGTGGGGTACATGTGGAATTTTGTTACATGTATATAATATATAGTGATGAAGTCAGGCTATTTAGGACATCCATCTCCCAAGTATAATGTACTTCTGTTAAACTACAGCCACCCTACTCTACTGCTATCAAACGCTGGGTTTACTCCTTCTAACTGCAGGTTTATAGCCTTAACCCACTTCCCTGCATCCTCTCCCTGACCCGGTCACTAACCCCACCTGGTCTCTGTTCTCCATCATTCCATTCTCTATCTCCATGTGATCAGATTTTTTTAGCTCCCACATGTTAGTGAGAACATGTGGTATTAATCTTTTTGAGCCTGGCTTATTTCACTTAAGATAATGACCTCCAGTTCCAGCCATGTTGCTGCAAATGTCAGGATTTCATTCTTTTTATGGCTGAATAATATTCCGTTATGTATATATACACCACATTTTCCTTATCCGTTCGCCCAATGATGGGCTCCTAGGTTGATTCGCTGTCTTTCCTGTTTTAAATAGTGCTGCAATAAACATAAGAGTGCAGGTATTTATTTGATACATTGATATCTTTTCCTTTGGGTAGATACCCTGTAGTGGGATTGCTGGACTGAACGGTAGTCATATTTTTAGAGTTTTGAGAAATTTCCATTCAATTCTCCCATTTTAGAAAAGAAGAGATTGAGTTGCAAAGAGATTAAACAATTTGCCCAAAACCACATTGCTTGTAGGTGGCAGAACTAGAATGTGAACCAGGCAGTGTGACTTCAGGCTTGTCTTTTTTTTTTTTTTTTCGGAGAGATGAGGTCTCACTATGATGCCCAGGCTGGTCTGGAACTCCTGGACTCAAGTGATCCTTCTGCCTTGGCCTCTCAAAGTACTAAGATTACACACATAAGCCAGTCTCCCGGGCTTTTTTTTCTTTTCTTTTCTTGGGACAGGATCTCACTCTGTCACCCAGGCTGGAGTGCAATGGTGTCATCCCTGCTCACTGAGGTGTCTACCTCCTGGGCTCAAACGATCCTCCCACCTCAGCCCCATGAGTAACTGGGACCACAGGCACCTGCCACCATGCCCCGCAAGTTTTCTATTTTTTGTAGAGGCAGGGTCTTGCTATGTTGCCCAGGCTGGTCTCCAACTCCTAGGCTCATATAATCCTTCTCCTCAGCCTCCTGAAGTGCTGTGATTCCAGACCAGAGCCACTGTGCCTGGCCTCTGGCGAATCTTAACCACGTGCCATCTTCCCCCTTGGCTTCCTTCACTAGTGTAATGGAGGAGCCCTGCCCAGGTGAGAGTGCCATTTCCCTGGCCGTTCATGAGCTGGAATCCAGTAGTCACTCAGGAAATACTAATTCCCTGTCCCTTCCTTTTCCATCCGTCCTATATTATAGCCATATAGGAGAACTTATTTTAAAGAAAGACTCTTCTTAGGGTTAGGAAAGAGAAAACCTATTTAAGAGGATCTTTCCCTCTAAGCTGCATGAAGACTTAAAAGGGTAGAGCACGTCAGTATCTCTGCAATGTATGAGTCCCCAGATGCTGATGATGGTTGCATTGTGTATTTCAGTAACGATCCTTGTCGGGACTCTAAAACACTGGTCATCCCCCTCAGTGTGACTCACCAGATACATGCTCAGAGCTTCTCACGTTTAATATCCTGGGAAAATAGCTCATCCACCCTGCTAATGGAAGCCCTCTGAAGCTGTCCCTGGGGACCCAGGGGTGACTCTGTTGTTTCATCTTCCCGGGAGTGGCTATTTGGTGTGTGTTTTTTATTTGTTCTGGAAATAGGTCAGAAGCAAACAGGAAGTGTCTTTTCCATCCTAGAACACACATCAGATTGGGATTGAAACCCATGATGATTCCAGCTGCCTAGACCTGAGTCCCCTGCAACGAAACTGTCCCAGCTGCCAGTGGACCCACTAAACAGATGGAAGGGCGGAGAGAAGGGATATTAACCCGGGAGGGTCAGAAAGGGACTTACACATTAGTCACACATCAGGTTATTTGCCAATCACCACTGATGAATTGTTGCTCTGGATTTTGTCTGATCTTTCATGGACACAAACCTGAGGCTCTTGTGGCTTTGTCAGGGTAAATATCGTGTTTTTTGCAGTCTGGAGAATGGTTGTATATACTCAGAAGACCCTGGAAACCGTGAGTCCAGAGTGGCTGGGGCTGGCCACCCCAGATGAGACTATCCCTGATCCAAGATTCCACAGAAAGAAACCAAAGCCAACGGGCTGTTCGGGGGCTGTGTGTGTGTGTGTGTGTGTGTGAAAGAGAATGTGTGTGTGTGTGTGAGAGAGACTGTGTGTGAGTGTGCATGTGTGTGTGTGTGAGTGTGTGTGAGACTGTGTCTGTGTGTGTGCGAGACTGTGTGTGTGTGAATGTGTGAGTGTGTATGTGTGTGAGAGACTATTTGTGTGTGTCTGTGAGTGTGCATGTGTGTGTATGTGTGTGAGAGAGTGTGTGTGTGTGCACACGTGTGCTTGCTTGTGCACCTAACTGGCTGTTCAGAAAGTCCTTAGGAGGATTTCTGCTTTGAGCCTCTGGCCCTGCAGGCAGCACACAGCCCCTCCACCACATCCTGCCTCTCCACTTCCTCCCCTCCTTTCCCAACTCTAAAAGCCAAGATGGGAAGTCTCTCACGACCCTGTGGCTTGGCAGCGAAGAGGCCTGAACTTGATACAGCTGGCTTTTCTGGGGCCTGGTAAGAGCATTTCTCCCTGAGTCTGGCTTCTTCGCTTACCTATTTTTAGACGTGTGCTGCAGACCTTTCTGAGGGCTTAGAGAGGCGTCTCCGGCGAGGCTAGTTCACGCCGGGATGAGACCCTGAAAGATCTGCCACACCCCTGAGCAGGAATCCAGGGAGCAGTTACATGTGCTCTGCTTGAAAGTCAACAGGAAGAGAAATAAACAGCCTTTGGCACCTCCCTCGCTACCCACCAAGGACAAAGTTCTGAGTTTTCCCTTCCACCTTAGCAGCAAGTCATGAAGGGTGGCTGAGGGAGTGTGACCTGGGAATCTGAGCATATTGAAGAGGCAGCATGGCCGGAATGTCACACACAGTAACTAAGACATCTAATAGCTGATCACAGAGCACTCAGGCAGGCCTGGGCGGAGGGCTGTCTTTCCAGCCCTGCTTCTCACCAGTCAGTCCCCATGAGGCAGGCACTCCCTCCTTGATCTTCCTGACCTCCCCGCTCATCCAACTCAGGGCTTTGCACCTGTCGCTTACCTGCTCTGTGTCTTCAAGACATAGGTCAAATGCTACCATAACCTTTATCACCTCAAAATGACCAATGCCTGGCTGTTACTGTCACCAGACTGACAGAAGTTGAGGGACAGGGACCATGTCTTATTCATCTGTATATTGCAGGTGTACCAGAGAGCAAATGTGCTAGATGGCTGCAGGGACATGACAGGGATATGTGGGGGACAAGCCTGGAGGCACAGTTTGGGGCCAGCTTGTAAAGTGTCACAGGAAATCCTACATAACAAGTGTTCAGTGAAAGGTGAACGAATGAATGATCAAATGATATGGAATAAAAAGATGTTATCATTTAAGGTCAAAAATCAGCAAATAGCCACCAGAAAAAATAAAACTAGCCAATTCATGATCCTGATTTTGTTTAGTACTTACAAAGCATGTTAGGTTCAGTAAGACTTTATGAATTCACTCTGTCTGTCCATTCAAGAGACTGATGGTACCTAAACCTAGGTTGGTTGGGCCAAATGCTATACATGTAAAATGATCTGTAAAATGCTGAAAATATTTTCTCTGAGTTGTCACCAATCTGGGCCATGTGTAGGCAGAATGTCATATCTGAAATCATAGACTTGACAATAGATGTTTTAAAAAAAGAACCAAAATTCACAACCTGGTGATGGCCTTTGCATGAGGCAAACCAGGGCCAGTCAACAAACATATGAAAAAGAGCTCATCATCACTGATCATTAGAAAGATGCAAATCAAAACCACAATGAGATACCATCTCACTCCAGACAGAATGGCAATTATTCAAAAGTCAAGAAACAATAGATACTGGCGAGGCTGTGGAGAAATAGGAATGCTTTTACAGTGTTGGTGGGAATGTAAATTAGTTCAACCATTGTGAAGAGAATATGGCAATTTCTCAAGGATCTAGAACTAGAAACACCATTTGACCCAGTAATCCCATTACTGGGTATATACTTAAAGGAATATAAATCATTCTTCTATAAAGACACATGCACATTTATGTTTACTGCAGTACTATTTACAATATCAAAGACACAGAACCAACCCAAATGCCCATCAATGATAGACTGGATAAAGAAAATGCGGCACATAGACACCATGGAATACTATGCAGCCATAAAAATTAGTGAGATCATGCCCTTTGCAGTGACATGGATGAAGCTGGAAGTCATCACCTCAGCAAACTAACACCAAACACTCCATGTTCTCACTCATAGATGGGAGCTGAACAATGGAGAACACATGGACACAGGGAGGGGAACAACACACACCAGGGTCTACTGGGGGATGGTGGGGCGAGGGGAGGAAACTTAGAGGAGGGGCCAGTAGGTGCAGCAAACCACCGTGGCACACATATACCTATGTAACAAACCTGCATGTTCTGCACATGTATACTGGAACTTAAAGGAAAATATATTTTTCTAAAAGAGGGAAAAAAGTGTCTTTTGGCACTGCTCCTGGGGAGGCTTCCAGGGGTCACCAGAACTTTCTCCTGAACAACTCTGGACAGGGACTTGGAGAAGGATGGCAGCGAGGGCACGGCTCGCATGGAGAGCAAGTTGGAGAGGCAGCTGCAGGCAGGGCTGTGTCCTTTCCAAGATGGGCTTTCTGCTCAGGCCTTTCGCTGTCCTGTCACACCTCCTCCCACCCCCGGAGGATATTTCATGCAAAGAGCCCCCCACTCTCCTCACTGTCCACTTTGGCCCTCCTCTGTTGCCAGAGACGGTGCTTTGTCTGGGACACTGCACTGAGTTCTCCCATTCTGTCCTGTCCCTTTGGGTGGCTGAGCCCTCCCATCTATCCCCTCCTTTGGGATTCAATCAACGCTTTCCTAAATGCTACTTTTCTGACTGCTTTGTCAACTTCCCACACCAGGGCCCGCAGAAAAGTGACTGCTCAGCCCAAAGTCTGACATCTTTGGCCTGGGTTACCTGGGGCTCACTTGGCTAAGAAAGGGAACAAGACAGGCATGAGGTGTCACTGCAGAGACAATGCCAGAAGGTGGGGTTTTAGAGGCCAAAGTTCATGAGTTGAGTTCAGAGGTCAGGTGACAGGGTGAATTTAGCATAGAGGGGCCTAAAGCAGCCCAGAATGAAGAATAGCAAAGATGCCCCTGTCTAGAGTTGGTAAAGGAATTGTACTAGTCTGTTTGCATTGCTATAAAGGAATACTGAGGCTGGGTAATTTACAAGGAAAACAAGTTTATTTGGCTCGCAGTTTGCGGGCTGTACAGGAAGCATGGTGCCAGCATCTGCTTCCGGTGAGAGCTTCCTGGAGCATCCAATCCTGGCGGAAGGAAAGGGGAGCTGTTGTGTCACATGGTCAAAGAGAGAGCAAGAGAGAGAAGGGAGGGAGCTGCTAGGCCCTTTGTAACAATCAGATCTCACAGTAACTAACAGAGCAAGAACTCACTCATTATGGCAAGGGAGGTGCCAAGGCATTCATAAGGGATCTGTTCCCATGACCCAAACACCTCCCACCAGACCCCACCTCCAACACTGGGAATCATATTTAGGATGAGATTTTGAAGGCATAAAGATTGAAACTGTATCACAATGGGTGACCAGATTAGGCCTGACCCTGGTGGTAATCCTGGGCTCAGGGCAAGTTCTCATGGCCAGGATCCCAGGATTACCACCAGCCCAACTCAGGCACTGTCAGCCTCTGACTGTCCAGCTTGGTTCAAAGAAGCTCATGGCTGTGCATCCCCAGCAAGGAGCTGAGCTCTACAGAGTTCTGAGAAGACGACTAGACCTATGGTTCATAACCCAAGGATGTAATCAGGATTATATCCAGTTTTTTCAAAATCCACATGCCAGGACCTCCCTCTGGACCTGTCAAATCGGAATGCATCTCAGATGATGAGTTTGGGGTGGAATGGGCAGGCGTATATGACTTTTATTACTATTATTGTTATTATTTAGAAACAGGGTCTCACTTTGTCACCCAAGCTGGAGTGCAATGGTATGATCACAGCTCACTCCTGATCACAGCCTGAAACTCCTGGTTTCAAGCTGTCCTCCTGCCTTAGCCTCCTGAGTAGCTGGGACCACAGGTGTGTGGCACCATGCCTAATTTTAAAATAAAATGTTTTGTAGAGACAGGGTCTTGCTATGTTGCCCAGGCTGGTTTCAAACTCCTGGCCTCATGCCTTGGTCTCCAAATGCCTTGGCCTCTAAAGCATTGGGATTACAGATGTGAGCCACCATGTCTGGCTCACTAATGACTTTAGAATGCCATCCAGGTGATTCAGATACAGTAACCCACCACATCCCATCTCAAAATGGGCACCATCTTGGTTGTGTGATTTTGAGGCTAGAGACCAAGTTTTTACCTTGTATTTAGCATAGTTCCTTATGCATAATAGGCCTAAAATAAATATTTGTTGAATGAATGAATGAATGAATGAATAAACAGAATTTTCTGGAGTCTAAAAGAATTGTGGACTATGTCAACAAATACGGGAAAAAAAACAGACTTTCCCATAGTGGATTTAACTCCCAATTGTAAGCAAGCCTTCCAGTCACCCATTCACAACATCAACTAAATACAACCACACTAATGTGCATTTTATTTACTCATGTGGCTCGGCAATAGGTGGTATTAGAAACGAAACAAGGATTTATATTAACACCATAGATGAGAGTGTAAAACCCGAGAAGGCACTCCACCCACTCACAATTAATTATATAATTTGAGGCTTACGTCTGGCTTTGGAAACAATGGGAACCATAATTACATGTCCAAAGCCCAAAATGGAATCCCACAAGTGTTTGACAAGTAGAACATAAGGATGATGGAGTGGTTTACCCATAAGCTTGACCACAGGGCAACCCTGGTGAGTCAGGATTTTAGGTCGTGGTAGGATTTTTCATTACCCTCCATTCTTCTGCAGTGAGTAGATTGAGCTCAGGGCCGTTTGATGGATGTGAATCGGTTGGTGAATTCAGCTGGCCTGCTGTCTTCGTGCATCTGACCCGTATAGAGAATAGCCATGCAAATTAGCATGGGTCTTGGGCCAGACAAAATTAATCTAGGCCTAAAACCAATTAAGTAAAAGGTGTCAAAGGGCAAAAGAAGAGGGAAATATGACTGAGACCAGCAACGCTTTCTTTTTCAGTTTTCTCTGACTCATGTCTTGTGATTTTTTTTCTTTTGTCATGAGAAAACTCACAAATGTAAGAAAACCTGGTGGGAATCTTTCCAAGTATTTATGGGATGAGAAAAAACTGTTCATGTTGAAAGTTGGATTAAGAGATTCAGATTCAGGCTGTCCCTGATATCAAATTTAAAGTGGGCCTCCATGCCAGCCCCTTGGCCTTGATCTCAGCACTCGGTTTTACCTGGACAGCCATGGCCACCATGGGTCATTTCATTCATTAGTTTTGCTGGCATTTGTCTCCCCCATTGGACTGTAAGTTCCTCTGGGCTAAGACAGATTGCTTGAGCCTAGGAGTTCAAGACCAGCCTGGACAACATGGCAAAACCCCATCTCTACAAAAAATATAAAACTTACCCGAGTGTGGTGGTGAAGGCTTGTAGTCCCAGCTACTTGGGAGGTTGAGGTGGGAAGATTGTTTGAGCCCAGGAGGTTGAGGCTTCAGTAAGCTGTGAGAGCATGCCACTGCCCTCCAGCCTAGGTGATATAGCAAGACCCTGACCCCAGCACCCCACAAAAAAAAAAGAATCATGTTTGTCTTGCCCACCTCTGATTCCCAGTGTGTGGCATGCACATTCAATCAATGTAAATGCTCATTAAACTAATGAGTGAAGACTGCCTGAGGACTGCGGTAGCCTTCCTGTAATAAAAGCATGCTACTGGGCTGTCAGTGTCCCTGGGCCTACTGTTGGCAGCGTGTCTGCCCCTCCCTAATGGCCTTGAAGCGCTCACCTTTCTGCTTTGACCCAGGATGCCTTGAACAGTCATTCAGCCTTCTTTTATTGACCAGGGCAAGCTGCCTGGTGAAATGTGACCCTGAGAAATAGAGATAAAATGCAGAGGCACACAGGCAAGCCAGAGAAGGAAAGGCAGGGACTGGGTTTAGAAGTGAGCAGAAGGCAGATGATCAAGGGAGAGCCAGGTATGCGGTCCCAGGGCTGAGGGGCCAGACATAAGACCATATGAAGGACAAGGAGTCAGACAGAAGGCCAAGGTTATGGCAATGGAGACCTGGGCACTGAACTACCCTCTTTCACAGAGCAGCATGTCACTTCTGTGCTTTCTGTATGGGCAATAGCAACTAAAAGCAGTGACAGTCATAGTAACAAACATGGACTGAACTCTGACTATGGGTACTGTGCAGAGTATTCTCCTTATGGGAGTAATTGATCCATGCTAAGGATTGGTTGTTCTTTGAGGTCAGAGGTTAAAGAGGTGAGGATTTGATGGTCAAGATGGTATTTGTGCTGGAGAACTAGAAATGCCCCAATCCCCTGTCAATCGGTCTTCCTCCCAGGAGGTTTGATTGTGTGTAATAACACACAAGGGGAATGAGTCTAAAAATACACAAAGGCTAGGGGTGGAGTAGCAATCAAATTACCACCACATTGTTCTTTCCCAGTTGCTCCCAGTAGGTGCTCATTGGTTAGGCGGCATTGGAGCGTATGGTTGAGACTTAAGGCCAAACAGACCTCCTAATCCAGCACCAAGACACCCCTTGCAAGAAAAAAAAAATCATGGTACTAACAAATTAAGAATGTTTGTAGATGAAAAAAAGAGAATGATGGAAGGTGTGTTAGGTAGAGCACACCCTGACCTAACTGGAAGCTAGCAGTATCCCGAATGAGGCGCATCAGAAGACAGACTCCTGGAGTGTTTGTCACATTGCATGCAGCAACTGCATCTACCATCAAAGGAGGTCAACAGGTGGCCTGTGTGTCTGACCGTCCTGACAGCAGCACTTCCCTGGAGAAGTCTGTCTCACGAGAAGCAGCAAGGCCAGGAGGCAGGTGAATAGGCAGAAGCATGAAGACATGGGAGGGAAGCATCCCTCCCCAACAGCAGTACTAGTAAAAATAATGACTATAAATATTCAATACGATCACTTCCAGGGTGCATTTAATTGTATTGTTTAATCTTTATACCAATCATATTGGGTAGCTGCTATTAGTCTCAGAATTAGCAGACTGGCTAAGTGACTTACCCAAGATCACAAACCTAGTAGGTGGCAGAGACAGCACTCACTATCAAGAGGGCAAAGCCCACCAGCTTGCCATCCAGCACACTGGTTGCTAAGTGAATCTAGCTAGGGGAAATGCATTAGGTCTAAGCACAGAGACTCACAATGTGTCAGGTGTCCTGCTCTACCAAGAAGTGATGGTTCTCCTTACCTACCATCGCTGGTCCTTCTAGGGACTTACCTCTAGCACACTTGCTGATTCCCATTTACAGAAAATTCTTGATCTCACTGGGCCTTTCCAATTTGTGATTGTACATAACTTAAAAAATTTCCAATCATCCACTAATTCCCAAACACAGAGGTGACTCACTAGTCTAGGATTTATAGCAACAAATACCTCTAGATAGATTGGTATAATAGCTTTCACTGTAAGTAAAACAGCATGGTCTAGCTGCTGGAATAGACAGATCAGTGAAACAGACCTAAGAATATGGTTACTTGTTATGAAGAAA